TCTAGGAAGTACTGCTGTTTCTCTTGTGTTCTTTCCTTGACCTAGCCACACATTTTACATTTTTAGTTTTCATGTGCTATGATCTATCGAAAACAAGTAATGAAGAAAACAGGATACAACATGCCAGATGCTGGGAATACCAAGATGGCAGCCTAATATTGTCTTCTTTTCCATAAAGCCATATGGAACTCCTGAAGTGGGCCATGTCACTATAATGAAGTAACTGCTACTCTGCTAAATCATCAGAAGAAAGCAAGCCAATGGTCTACAGCTTCCATCTTGCACAGGGCTCACTGTTACCATCAGTCAAATCTCACCTACCAACTGTGTCACAGTAGGTGGGCACTCAGCCGATCCTGCTGAAATCCCAGGTGACTTTGGAACAGGATATGGCATCCTAGGCCATTTGGACTGTTAGATCCCTTCTCTATTAATCACTCTGGGGGAAAGAGATGTTACCTATGACTGAGGTCCAACAATCCTCAGTATCTCCAATGACCATAAGGAAGAATTGGCAAGGGCTAAGAAACGTGCCCTTGGCCACAGAAGTCACAATAACTAAGCACGGAACTCTATAATAACCTGTATGTCTGAACTTCTGTCAACAAAATGAAATCTGAAGAAGAAAATACTGTGACTCAAAGTACCTAGTCTAGAACAATGTAGAATATACAACCAAAAAATCCTTATTTCTGTCCCTATCTCTTCTGTTGAATGACAGATTGGATGACTAGATGATTGCTACAGTCTTTTCCAGCTCTAACAATTAAGATCATAAGGAGGGTCTGAAGATTAGAAATATTCACCCAATGATAGGGTTTAATTCTGATTTACAGAGTGGGAAGAATGACTGTGTTGTTGATGTTGCCCTAAACACAATAAAAAGGACCTTCAGAAACCTTAGCATTGGTACTCTGGCATACCTGCAACAGTCTCCCCTTCCTGTATTGCTGTCTCTTTCTCGCTCTGTGTACACTTCAGGTCTTGTCTCTTGCTCTCTCTGCCTGTCTCCACACAAAGGTATACAAAATCAGAAGTGTGTGCAAACCAGTGAGCATGAGAAACACTGGGATTTGGTGGGGGGGGACAAGGTCTATCCTGTCCTGTAATAGAATTCAGCTGCAGTGCACAGTGCACTGTTTAAACAGTGCTCCCTTGAAAACAGTTGTGGGGTGAGAACAAGCAGCCAAGAGCAGTCAGCGATCAAATGATCTGAGTGGACCTAAGAGGAGCAGCACCCAGCAGGGGCTGATTCAGGGAAATGAAGTCCCTTCTGCTCTGATGCAGAGGAGGGAATACAAGTGACCTGGCCCAACCGAGAGATCTCTTCCACCTCAACAGATCCTGGACTATTAATATCTGCCAGCTGCAGGCCCAGAGCATCCCCCTGCTGAGATCAAAAGAGCTCCTATCTTAGCTGGAACAAGGTCATCTGCACAGGGCTGTAAAAAGCGAGCCCTGGCTGGCTGCAGGGACGTCTATGGGGGAGGAGAAGTCAGGAGATGGGAGGTGCTCTCTCACGCTCCTTTAATCTCGGCTGACCAGCTGTTGCCCTCCCAGTGTTTGTAAAGTTGAGAGTTCTTTGTTTTTGTGTTGCTGGGTATCCCCGCCCCCCCCCCAACTCTTATTAAATTTGTGGCTGAGTTGTTGGCTTGGATTAAGTAGACTCATGTTCACTGCTTGACATCATGGTATAATTCTCTTCATTGAGGTTTCATTCCACTGTTGAGTTATCCAGCTCCCAGGTGGGAGAGCCAAAGAAGGGAGAAGTACACCTCAAGGGCCAAGGACTTTCCTGGCATTGCTCCTGCCCCTGAGCTTTGTGCCTTGAGAAAGAATGAGAGGGCAAACTGAATTTTCTCTATTTACTTAAAATATCTCCTCATATGTGCAGCGTGCTTGTCAATTTGCAGCCTGCCTTTCACAAACTATCCCATTCACAAACTATTGGGAGAATGGAACTTTCGGAACTTATGCAAATTGACCAGAGTTACAAAGTCATCCCATCCCGGTGTGTTTCTCATTTTCACTGGTTAGCACACACTTCTGATTTTGTATAACTTTGTGTGGAGAGAGGCGGAGAGAGCAAGAGACACACAGACAAGACCAGAAGTGTACCCAGAGTGAGAAAGAGAAAACATACAGGGAGGAAAGGCTCCTGCAGGTATGCCAGAGTATCAGTGCTAAGATTTATTAAAGATCCTCTCGACTGTGTTGAGTCTAGGGCAACATGAGCAACACAGCCATTCTTCCTACTCTGTAAGTCAGAATTAAACCCCATCAGTGGGTGAATGCTCCTGACCTTCAGACCTACCTCATGATCTTATATGCTAGAGCTGGAAAAAACTTCGGCAATCTTCTATTCATCCAACCTGTCATGTAACAGAAGAAACTGAGACCCAAAGTGATCAAAAGGGCCTGCCCAACACCACAGTTAATAACACAATGGCATAGCTGATACAACGAATGCTTGAAACAAAACAGAGCAATTTATACATGCATGTGCACATGTGTGTGCGTAAATCATAGGAACTTAACAACCGTTGTAATATATTTGAATGGCTATAAATGTTCTAAGACATTGTCCATTTTAATCCACTAATAAAAAACCTTCATTATAGACTTTAGGAATATGTTTATATAGCCTCTTTATCTGCTCAGCTATACAAAACAAATCTAGAAAAATCAATCATTTCCATTCTTTCTTGGATTTCTGGAAGGATAAGCTGGTAACTCTTCCTTTGTTATGAACACGACGTCAGGGGTGTCTTGTGGCAGTTATACTGCAGCCCCAAAGCAATTTCTTTTCTATGTTTTTTGTTCTTCTTTTTTGCTTGAGATAAACCAGGAAGGCAGCACAAAGAAAAGTACTTACTGGTTTTCAAATAAGGAAGCAGTTTACTCGATTCTGGTCTCCGCAGAGCTGAATAAGTGTGTGTGTGTGTGTGTGTGTGTATCTGTGTATGTGTGTGTGTGATAATTATAACAATTTTTTTAACAATGTTCATAGGTGCTTTATATGATTCTTATGGTCATTGTTCTACCGAAGTATTTACTGTTATATTCATTCAGCATTTATTTACTGGCTAGTATGTGTCTAGAACTTTGCTAGTCACCGGATGACAACATGGATACAAAAAGAATATGACATGGTCGTGTCTTTAAAATCTGCCAATTTAGGCAGAAAAACATGAAAAGTAAAATTAATTTTCTAGACTTTTTCCTTATATAGTTGAGCAGATAGAGTGGCCACAGAGGAAAAACAGAGAGTGAGACCATAGGCAAGCAGCTTCTGTGAAAGAGGCAGTCTTTAAATAAGCCTCGAAGGAGTGGATGTGGGACGAGAAGCAGCAGAAGTGAAAAAGAGAAGCGCTGTTCTCAAGTGAGCTGTCTCTGCACAGGCCTGGAGCTGGGCCTGGGGAGGGGCAGGCCAAGGGCGGCACGCTTGGCATAGGAGCTTCACCTAAGATACCGGCAGAAACTAAATTTGAATAGAAAGGAAATGACAGATTATGAAGGGTTAAAATCATTAACTTTATCCAGGGGTGTTTTGAAAACCCGTCTACCCAAAGGGAGGAAATAAAAAAACAAGCCACCTGATTTTTAGCATTTGCGGATTTCCATGGTATAAATACTTTCGCCATGGCTGATTTCAAGCTAACAAACCCCAAATCCCTAAATATGTTAAAATCAGCTTACTGATTTTAGGTCATTCTCAGAAAAAAACATACAAAAAAACAACAAAAAAGAAACAGACAAAAAATCTTTTCTAAGATTTCTGAGTAGGAGAGCAACAGAGTAGAACGAGGCCAGACGGGGAAGTTCAGTTTGGTAGTGGCAGAATGTAAACTGTAGAGGCTAGAGCTGGGAAGGCCAATCTGGATGTTACTACAATAATCCAACTGGGAGTTTAGTAAATCAGCTGACCACAACACACATTACAAAAAAGAGGGGACAAAGGAACGATATATGCGGAAAGAAGTACTAAGCAGACTTGATGACAAAAGTTTCAGGGGGAGGAATACTCCATGATGCAGGTCTTCAGCCTCGCTAATGGGGGTTCTGATGATGTATCCCTGAACTCAGAAGGAAGGTACACAAAGCATTGTACAGTTTTCATAAATAAGCCACTAGTTTTCACTCCTTAAGCCACCACTAAGAAGCAGAGGTGTGGTTCTTGCAATTTCTAAGACCATAACGCAAAGCTGCTCTGCAGAAGACCATCTGGGCAGTCAGTCAGCAGCCTTGCTAGGCCTAAAAGTCTCCTATAGTCCATCATGAACAATTCTCAGAAAGTGGAAAGGGTGGAGAGGCCTGGAAGAGCTCTGCATGTCTACCCAGGCCCATAGCATTCTGCATGAAAGATATTAGACTACAAGGAGAACAACTCAGAATTGTCAAGTAAGCACTTTCAATAAAACTAGAAACCACCCTCTGGTTTACTGGTGTTATTTCCCCAGCTACGTAAAGCTTATTGCCATCGAAACCATAGCCAGCCTGACCTTTGCTAGCAGGGGAGGGTGGAGAAAATTTTGCAGATTTACCAGCATGGAGATTTTTTTCTCAATCTTCTGTAAAGCTGATCAAGAATGTCATATCTCTGGCACATGAAACTGATGTATGCTTTTTAGTCCAAAGGAACTCAGCACAAACAAAAGGCTAAATTGCTAGGGGACCACTGGGAAAGCCAATCTTTGAGTATCAGTCTCAAAAACAAAGTCATTTAACAATTCATCAGCCCTCATACTAAGGACCTGAAATAGCCCACAGAGGAGTGACTGGCCTCCAAATGGAGCTCACTTATAGACGCAGGGCAAGAGACTCCCCAGTATAAGAGATCAGATGCCAGGAAAGGTGGTCAAACCTAAATCAACAGGCTCTGGCTGGGTTCACTGGCCAAGGCCTATTAGCCATATCTCCCAGCTCTCAACAGGAGGTGGAAAGGCAGTGGGGCTGTATGTCAGTGTCAAGTTTCAGCCTCTCCAGGACAGATTCCTTACCTTCAGACAGGGACAAATCATCAGTTGGAGACACCAGGTCTGCCTGAGAAGCCAGGGCTCCACTCAGATGGGTTGTAATCTGATTCGTCAAGATAACCTGTGAACAGACAGGGAGAAGGGAGGGGCAAGGGAGAAGAAAGACAGGGAAGACCAAATTAATTATTAGAGCTATCAAAAGGCAGACTACGGTTTAGGAGAAGACTGATAAATACACAGGTAGGAAAACCCCAGCCCTGACTTTCACCAGCTTTATCTTTAGGCCAGAATATCTGGCAAGGCCTAGCAGTTATTCAAAACCCAGAAAACTGAGGAAATAGACTGACTTTTTTCAGAGTAAAACCTCTATCAATTCATTCTAAATGCTGAGTAAGTTGGGATTGAGGGGTGTTATCATATTAGTTAAATAATAGGCAGCTAACCACAATTAAATGCACATGTACACATTTGAACAGACTTTAATTTTCAAAATTATATCCGCCAGCTGCAGTGGCTCATGACTGTAATTCCAGCAGTTTGGGAGGCTGAGGCAGGAGGATCACCTGAGGTCAGGAGTTTGAGACCAGCCTGACCAAATGGAGAAACCCAGTCTCTACTAAAAATACAAAATTAGTCGGGCATGGTGGCACATGCCTGTAATCCCAGTTACTCTACTCAGGAGGCTGAGGCAGGAGAATCGCTTGAACCCGAGAGGCAGAGGTTGTGGTGAGCCGAGATTGCACCATTGCACTCCAACCTGGGCAACAAGAGTGACATTCTGTCTAAAAATAAATAAATTAATTAAAATAAATTAAAAATAAAATAAAATAAAATTGCAACCACAACCTAAGATATTACTGGTGTTGAATAACATTAATAATTTAAATTTTGGGGCCAAGCACATGGCTCATGCCTGTAATCCCAGCACTTTGGGAGGCTGAGGTGGGCGGATCTCCTGAGGTCAGAAGTTCGAGACCAGCCTGGCCAACATGGTGAAACCCTTTCTCTACTAAAAATACAAAAATTAGCCGGGTGTCGTGGCTGGCGCCTGTAGTCCTAGCTACTCAGGAGGCTATGACAGGAGAATTGCTTGAACCCAGGAGGCTAAGGTTGCAGTGAGCTGAGATCGTGCCATTGTACTCCAGCCTGGGCAACAAGAGCGAAACTCCGTCTCAAACAAACAAATAAATAAAATAAAATAAAATTTGGATGCCTGTGGCTTCTTTGCTTGTTATTGTTAAAAGTCAGAGTTTTATTTGCAAATTTGTGATATAGGAATGAATGAGTTTCACTCTAAAGAAATAATACTCCTCTTTTAAATAGTTAAATTCTAACAAAAGAAGTCTCACTATGTATTTAAGAAACAAATTAGCATAAACCTACCTATACAAAATAAAGTTCATAACATTTAAGATCCCTGGAAAGGACTTTAAAACTACCTAACTCATGTAATCGAATGTCGCATAAATTTTCAAATTTGGTATGGTCAAGAAACTATTCCTAAAAAATCCTCATTTGTAAAGTCTACCTTATTGTTTAGAAGCCTAGAGGAAGAATAAATACAGATTCTTTTCTGGAAAAGAATAACATAATGAATACTAAAATCATTTTCTAAGGTTTAGATGTTCTCATGGGGGGAAGAAACTATGAGCATCTTGGTCACTCAGAGGCAATGTCCCTTCTGCAAGGGGCATTAGGCATTTAGTGCACAATTCAGTGCTTGGAATATTTGTCTAGCTGGACTGTGCTGGTCTGAACCAAGGGTCAGCTATGGTTTTGTTGCCACCCTGATTTGAACAGAAAGGGAAGTTGCCCCCATTCTTTATTATCCAGCTTTTCAGCCACACCTCTGTCACTGTATCCTGAATGGACCAGTGACACATTATAAATCCTATATCAATGGCAGCTTAATTGAGGGCTGAGAGGGAGCGGGACGGCAAGGTCAGGTAAAGAAATGAAGTACTCGAATAGCAAAGACAACCTTTTAAGTTCTGTGTGCCCACTGGGCTTGTGAGTCTCTAGTCACTCTGCAGCAATAATCAGATATTGCAGGATTCCACTCAGTATTTGCTAATCTTATCTCTCATATTCTTTTGTATTGCTACTTTCCATCGACCAGTGAGAATCACCTAAGATATGTCTTCAATTAAAATGGCTGGAAATGGTCAAGTAGCCTCCTTGAAACAACTGTTCAGCTATACGAGTATAAATAAGGAATTGTGTTCATCGCTGTCTTTTTTTTTTCGAGACAGGGTCTCACTCTGTGGCCCAGTCTGGAGTGCAATGGCATGATCTCAGTTCACTGCAAACTCTGCCTCCTAGGTTCAAGCAATTCTCCTGCCTCAGCTTCCCAGGTAGCTGGGATTATAGGCATGAGCCAGCATGCCTGGTCATTTCTCTTTTATAATATAGGGTATGAGCTTTGGAGTTTAGTAAAACTGGGTTCAAATTCTGATTTTGACCTTGTGTACCTTTGAGCTTCATTTGTTCCCAGGTAAAATAATATCTATTTCATAGAATTTTTATGAGAATTAAATGAGATAATCAATGCAAGATACTTAAAATATCTGACACATAGTAAATATTCAATAAATAGAAGCAATTGTTGTTATTGTTACTATTTCCTTCAGAATGAGGATATACAGGTTAATAAATCAGTATATGCCATAGGCTCCAGACAGTTGGTTCTAACAATAGAACACTAAATCACAATTTTCTATATCAGGATATACTTTGGTACCTGATCATTTCTACCTATTTTAGTCCTTCCTAAGTTTTATTTAATTGCAAAGAATTTGTGTAAAAATCTTAGTAAGAAAAATATAGTCATTATTTAAATCAAGGCCAATAAGATACTGACATTACTCTGAAAATACTATGTGCTTTATCTACCAATGAACTGAATACTGCATTTGTCTATCTTAGTAAAAAAAAAAAAATGTGGAACTTCTGAGAGATCTAAATATGTCAGCTCTAATACATTTGTCTCTTTCTTTCTTTCTTTCTTTCTTTCTTTCTTTCTTTCTTTCTTTCTTTCTTTCTTTCTTTCGTTCTTTTGTTCTTTCTCTCTTTCTTTCTCTTCTTTGAGACGGAATCTTACTCTGTTGCCCAGGCTGCAGTGCAGTAGCGCAATCTTGGCTCACTGCAAGCTCCGCCTCCTGGGTTCATGCCATTCTCCTTCCTCAGTCTCCCGAGTAGCTAGGACTACAGGCGCCCGCCACCATGCTTGGCTACTTTTTTGTATTTTTAGTAGAGATGGGTTTCACCGTGTTAGCCAGGATGGTCTCTATCTCCCGACTTTGTGATCCACCCGCCTCAGCCTCCCAAAGTACTGGGATTACAGGTGTGATTTTGTGATTCTTTTAAATAATGGCTTGGTGAAAATGATTGGGACTCCAATGATATGGTTAATAGTAATGAGAAAAAAATTCTTACTTAACACCTACCATACAAAGCATGTCACCATATACATGGGGGAAATCAAGATATAAAGGTACTGTATGTCTCTAGAAACTTACAAATTCAGTGATAAGGCACTGACTAAAATATTTAGACCACTTTTCCTCAACTTTATTCTCACTTCACTGGTTCTGTAATGGAAACTTGTACTGAGATGATGGTTTTATTGTACAGAACTAATGAAATGCTATCTTACAGAACCTAAAACTGAACTACAGATGTACCTCAAAAGATACCCAGCATCATTTCCACTTCTGGTGAAAGAGCAGATGGGGAAGGAAATATGCACTCCCCAATGGCGAAAGAACAAGCTCCTAACTGATTTTGCTAATAATCCTCTCCCTTTTAATTACGAATCTTAAAGCCAAATCGCCAAAGGGATACATAGCAACCAAACTCAGGGCTTTGCTAATCATGCCATCTTACTGAATTGTTGTGGTTTTCTAAATCTATTTTCAGCAAAAAGGACAGAATGAAAACATTTCCCAAAGCATTGATTACAATCCTCACAACTTGGGCAGAAGACTATAGGTGTATTTTCCTCTGAGGCAATCAGGAGACTTGAAACTATACTTTTAAAATAACATATGAAATACTATTACAAGTTATAAACAGACTCTTAACACAATCTGGTTTCTAACTGACACTTCATGGGGTTTTCCTGCTGCTTTGCTCCATGGAAAAGACTGAGTCTTCTGATGCTCAGTACTAAATTTGTGTAAGAGCAATTTGCACAGTGTTTAGGACAAGGGCTTCGGAATCAGACCTGAACTTAGATCCTGGGCTCTACCATTTACTTGCTGTGTGACATGGGGCAAGATTCATAATCTCTCTAGGGATGATAATACTTAGCTCACATGGTTCTGAGGATTCAGCTGGATAATGCATAGAAAGTCCTTAGCACAGTACCCGGCCTACGGAAAATGTTACCCCATCACTCTCATTAGTTAACCTTTGCTGATTTATACCTTGCTTGTTTAGCTATAAAACCCATGCCTGATTCCATTTTATATAGCATATAGCCCACTGCTGACAAATAACAAATATTTGCTGTCAATATGTTCAAAAGCAATAAAAATTTAATTGAAAGTAAATGTGCTATTTTTGCTATTTCCCTAAAATATGGCTTATTGAAAACACACAACACACCCCCAGTACCACCAATTACAATGCAAGACCAGAGTGGGGTTCTTGGGCAAAGGAAAAGATAGATATTTTTAATGGTCATGATTAGGTCTGAAGCCAGGAATAGACAGAATCCAACTTAATCAGCTTCTCTTGAGGAAGAAGAATATCATCCACCTACTAGATGGAACAAGAAACCCTATAAAAAGTAACTTCTGTCTCAGCTCAGCTTTATATGAGAGAACGCTTACTCCCAAGCTTCTTTGCATTGCCTTCTTGACTGTAGGTTGCTTACAGAGGTGCACCTGTATAGGAAATGGCCCCTCATATAGTGTCACATAGACCTTGAGTCCCATTTTTAATGCTTTCCCACAAGGAAAAATGGGGAGAGATTTCTCCCTTCAAAAGCCATGCTCCCAGGTGCCCAGTTTTCCTTTGTGTTACATAGTTTCTCTAAATGCATCTTACTCAACCCTTCTGTGTACTCCAGTCAAATATCTACACTCAGATTAAGAGAAAAATTAAGATCTTTAAAAA